AAACACAAAAGAACTAATGCCTATTGTCTCTAGATTTGTATACATGGACTTAACGTGGTTCCGATGAGCTGAAATATTCATTGATTCCACGACGTCTGCTTGGATTTGTCTAGGGAAGCAAACGCACGAAAAAAAATCAAGGTGAGAATTTTTAATATCTGCGCAAAAGAGAGATTTTAAGATGCTTATTCCCAGCGAGTTGTTTGATCTCTCCTCGTTAAATCTCTTGAAGCTAGACTCTCTAAGCCCATTCTTCTCCAAAGTTTTGTTCAGCAAATTACGATATAGGTTCGAGTGAAATTTAGTGTCCATTACCACAGGGAGTGCTATTCAATTGCTGATTGTGAAAAAAAGTTAATTTCCCCTTTGTAACTGTTACAAAGCCGTTACGGGCGTAAACGGCTTCGTGTTCTTTCACCCAAATATCCCAATACAGATTTCAATTTCATTATTGCTGTCGTACATGGTTTATGTAAGAGAATAGTCATGATTTTAGACAGTCCGTTTTCCGAACATTTTCAATTGTTTTTTTCACATGATGTTTTTAGGCGTTCAGACGAAGTGTTTGGGTTCGTGTGCTATGTTGATTTTCGAAAGAGCTGAGATTTATTTCATGCAAATTTACAGTTAACAGCTTTGAAATTAATAAAAAGAATTGCTTGTGACATACATGTAAGTGGAACTTTGTAAGTGAAGTTGCGTGCACTTTTAGTTATGTAAATTAACCTCTACAAAATCATGCTTCAAATAATTCTTTGTCACTTTGAATATAGTTTCCGAAAAGTGAAGTATAAAAATTCACGTTTTTAATTCAAGTTGATTAAACAAGCAGCTAGTTGATCTCATTTCAAAAAAGCTGAAAATGAGTTGGCCATGCAACAGTTTGTTCTTATGAACCTCGACTGACTGAATAATTCCAGGGCGCACAGCCATATATCATCATTTGCAAGTTGCATGGTGCGCTCGTGTCTTACCGGCCTTTTTTCAGTGTAGTGAGCTTATTGTTGGAGGAACACTGATTTTAAACTTTTAAAGGGAAATACGGAAAACATATTGAATTCCTACTTACCGTGTCTTTACGGTCAGGTTTCTTGGTTTCCACCCTGAGGACCCCCGGCTCTTTAATTTCCACGCTTTGGAGAAAAGGGGAAAAAATAAGTTCTAACTCAAATACCTCCCATACCGAGAATCAACCCCAGGCTGCTTGAGTGAACTCGGTAATGTTAACTGCTTGACTGTAAGGCAATCTTGTTAGGCTTTCGAAAGACTGCCCGGCCGCTGGTTTTTAGGGTCGGATTCTCAAGAATTGACTTATTGACTTTTATAAGCAAGAACTTTCAATATTGTTTTAATACAAAGCGGTTAAAATTGCATGAATCACATAAGGGATGAAAATGTCTGAATGTCCTATTGGGATGTGAATTGGGATGCAAACTGTTTGAAAATATTAAACATGTTTGATTTGGAATTAAACGTTAAAAACTTGACTGTTAGCTCCCATCAATTGCAGCCGTCTAACATGTACAAAAGCACCCACACCCTACCCCACTCGACCCTCGGCCCTCACACCTTGAAGCCCAAAGGAATTTAGGAAAGGTATTATAACTGACAGGGCACGGTAAAAATTTGATGACACCCTCCCCTACTTAAATGAATTACACCCACCTGCTCTTCGACTCGACACCGATAAACGAGACATTCACAAAGGCTAAAAAATTTATTGAATAAGTTTACGAACTTTTGACGGACAAAGGAGTGTAAATGTTTCGCCCAAGGTATTAAGTTAAGTTTACATGCACGTAAATATATTCAAGCACATAAACTGTGGAGACAGCTGTTTCCCAGTATTATTTACGATACACCTTCTTTCTGAATTATCTATACTTAGAGAAAAACAAAACGTCTCTTAAAGATCTAAGTCTGCATATTGGCAATGGACGTTATCACATGTTATGGACAAATTACGGCTTAACTTATTGCTTTTGAGCGGGTTTTTTTATTTCTCCGCCTGTAATAATGAGCGAAGTTCACGAGGTAACTAAATCAGATTCGAAAATGCTGTGTATTTTGCAGATAGGCAGGGAACATATTTTGTGGTTCAAGATAAACGAAGTTCTGTTGAAGGGAAATTTCTGCATTTTTCTTTTCAAAAAAGGGAGTATTAAAAAGGAAAGAAATGTTGTATTTCAAACTTTTAGTCCTTGTTGAATAACAACGCATTTTATTTATTAATGATATTTCAGTAAATTATTTCGAGGTGTTTGATCCCTTAGTTCCCGTTGTTAAAACAAACTTGAACAAATACCATCTCCTTTCCCGTCCAACTCCTTTGGAGATGCTGATTCAACCAACGTTAGTTCAATTTTTGGGTATTTCATTCATCTGTGGCAACCTATTTTTTTAATGAAGGGAGCTCGGAAACTCCAAAAACTTGCATCTGTCTGATACACGTTACCCAAATATATTGGAAGTATTTCAACGTGTACTCCTTTCCGGCTTTCATCTCGAAATGCAACAAGTGTTTTATTTCATTATGTTGCATGTGTGTTATTATCTGAGAAATTCCTTTTTGACAGTTTGTTTTCACCTCCCAACATAGTTTCTACTTGTTCCACCTTTAGCTGACAGTTGACAGGTTTTAAACCCAGTGGTTTGTTTCATTCCCTGCTGTTTTATCTGTTTTCCGCTTTTTCCTAATTACTGTCATCGACTCACTGTGTGGTTCCACAATTCAACGAGGAGCGGCCTAATTCTCTGATAACGAAACATGCAAACTCAATTCGCCTATAATATCATAAAAATGTGTTGTGATTGTAAGAGACGAACTACCTTAGTGAAAATTAACCTCAACATCGGTGAAGATTAAATGACACGCTCGAGATATCCCTTTTGCAATCAAATATATCTGCACCCTAATCAGTCGCTGACTTATTCAATGCGTTGCATTTGTAGCTATTTTCTCGTCAAAAACCATTGTCAACTCAGGCAGTACAGACGTATTTTCTTCCCGTATGTGGGTCGATTTTCTGGTCATAGAAGATAATTTCCTCTTCCAGTCATTAGGAAACAATTGAAGACTTCTCAGGAGAAGGTGACTCTCTTCTGAGTTCGGTGTTTTAAAGCTACATGAGGATGCCACTTTATGAGGTTTTCACGTTGTGAGCACCAGACAGAGAAAGATCTATCTAAGCACCTGCTACTGTATAAACGTATCAACCGTAAAGATTGATACAAAAGGCATAGTCAAGTCTTCATAGGGGTCGTTATTTTAAAGCAAGATGCAACAAAGAATGAACTTCAATAATAAAAAAAAAGACCTCATTTGAATGCTATCTCTGTATGTTCAGCTGTGTTACAGCTTGTGGTTAAGAAATGAGAAATGTTGGATTTTAGTGTATAATAATACAATTAAGAGATAATCCTGTAATTAAATCAAAACACCATGGGGATTGAAATACAAATTGATGTACCCCAAGCCAAAAAGCCGTCAATTCACAATGCAATGTTCCCAAACGACATCGAAGCTCCGAACACTTGCCATTTAGCAATCCTAAATGACCACTTTTCACACCAACAATTTAGCTCAAAATTCTTCATTTACATCCGACTGATCCAAAGAATCTTTCATTTGAGTGGGAAACATAAGCTTTGTACAAGAAAGTAATTTAATTAACGTCAACACACATTTGTTTCAGGTCATGCACAAACGTTTTCAAGAGAGGGTGTAATTGCCCATTCAGTAGAGGACAAGGTTTTCTTAATTTGAATACCTCTGTTTTTTTATTACGAAATGGTATGAGAACTTCTAAGAAAACATAAAATAGTGACTTAGTCCATGCTTATTTTCTGCCAATGCTACAATAGTGACCCTGCGGTAATAGGGATTGACTTTTATAGGCAATGACACCTTCAAATATTCACTGTAGGAACGTCGACAATCTTAAAATTAACCCTAAAACTTAAAAACTACACACAGAAGACTACATTCCTTCCAATTATTCACTGATAAAACTCCGTGAAAAGAAAATAAAACAACAATCAGGATGTGAAAAATGAATGTAGGTAGTTTGGTTGCGAAAGTTCGCCATATCCTAAAGCGGTTTTCATAAGTGTCATCACTTCCAGAGAAATTCAACACATCTGCCGGATTATGGTCTAATTTTGACCCCCGGGACAAAAGAAGAGTTTAAATCGAAAACCGAAATGTAAATTCTTGTCATGCAATGTGGAGAGGTGGCAATGTATCTGTCTTATCTATGTATATTATCTTGAATGAATTCAGCATTATCTTCATTATCTTCGACTTAACTCTCAAAAATGTGGGCCTGGTTTATTACAATTTTAACCCAGCTGAGGAGTAACTCAATACAGTGGTTTTTGCTACATTTCGTGCAGCAGTAGTTTACTCTGATTAAGCTGTCTGCGTTCCAATTCTGCACCACTGTATAACCAAAAAAATACAAATAGGTCGGCAATATTTATGTGAGCTTCTTGGCACATAATTATTTTACCATTTACATCATCCTTCACACATAGTTAACGCATTGTTCTCACACATTTTGACTAAGCACAACTACGTTTAACTCAGATGCAAAAATATCTACACTCTAAAGACGGAAATTTTTTCCGTGCTCTATTAGCATGCTTGGAAATAAAGTTGTTTTTCCAATTTTCAAGCGAAACTTGATCCTGCTGTTTTATCAAATGTTAGGTTCTGCAGTCACAGTGCCGGAAACTATGTCAATTGATACTGTCTCGGAAATCAATTAGTGTCAGCACAGCTTACGCACATAGAGAGGGCTTGGTTTGATTAAAGCAGCTTTGGGTCAAGGTATGTGGCGCAGAAATTTCACTGATTTTACAGTAAAAACCTGGATTGTGAATGTCAGATGTCGCTATGAACTGCATTAATGGTAGTATCAGAGGCTTGTGGCTTAAGGTGGGTCTGTGAGATATCACAGCTTAGTGCGAATCGCTTGAGAATTACCTTACATTTCATATGAAAACCCCATTCAGCTGCAGCTTTTATCGACAAAATAGGTGTTTGGACGATAATTTTAGCCCAGTTTTTTTTTTAAATAGCGTGATTCTTTCAAAGAATCACGCACGGTATCTCTATTTGGAAAGGGAACATGTAGAATTGAACCAGGAGACAGTAAGGCTATTTTGACATTGTCGTTGAGGTTCCTCTGTTGTTCCATATTTTACCTACCACTGTTAGCAGCCTCCCCGAGGTTTGAATCAATAACAAAATAACATGATAAATAGCATAAAGATGTGAACAAATATGATAATAAGTTCGCTAACAAGGTCTTCTTGCAGCGAGCTAACTATGATAAATGTGCTGTAGAGAAGGATGCCTTAGATGCAGGCTTTGGATGATGACAGATGTCTTAGAAGATTCCTTTACTCAAATTCTTGTACCTCAGGGAATTTTCCAAACCTCAATATTTCAACGACGAACCAAACCTTTACAATTAAAATATTTTACCCTGCTCTCTATAACTGCATTGCATATTGATTAACCTTTTTTTTTAATTGTTTCAAAATTTCCTTGAGATTCCCATTTTCACCCTAGCCTTTCCGTGGGGTTTGCAACAATACAAATGGTGTCTGAACGATAATTAGTTTGTAAAGTGGACGTTAGCATGCAACTTGGCAAGTTTTCTATTCATTATCTTTGTAATGAGATTACTGAAGATTTCCTGCCCTAAGTCAAGTGCACGTGTGCACAAAATGCCGTTAAACCAATGATATGTCGCCCATCTACGCATGACAAATAGAATTGAAGTAAAACCTTTGTTCCAGAAGGTGCTTGTGGCATAGTTGAGTAAAAAGATGGCTGTTTGTTCGATTTGCTTATGTGAATATGTTGATGGGGACAACTGAAACCAAACGTATAATTTCTAGGAGTTAAAAGTCTTTGGGTAAGAGCAGTGTTCGGCATTGTTATTGGCTGGATGCGTTTCATATGAAGATGGATTCTAGAAGATATCATTTGTGTAGTGATGGAGGTTCGATCTGAACGCGTTTTATGGTGATATGCATCGCCCTTCTTGTTCTTGAGTCAAGGTAGGTGCGCAGAAAACGGATGCCTCTTGAAAATTTTCAACAAAACATCCGTCTCACTTTAGTTCAGAATGTCATGAGTCCTTGGTCTCTCCAACCATTTCAAATAATTTGTTCCTCCTAAACAAAACAGCTGTTCTTCCTATGACAATAAACTTCCAGCAAAACGCCTGTTGATAAATTTTACACTTTTTTATGATAGATTCATTCGAAAATGAAATAAAGTCATGTTTACAACTTGACCATGCTTCCCTCCTAAGGGCAAGATAGCATCGTGGCGATGGCTTTGCTCGAAATCAGCGTTAAATTAGTTTTCTTTCCGACGTAATCCTCATTTATGTTACGTTCAAGATCTGTTCAAGTAGTTGTAAGATGTAGTTCACAGCTCAGGGAGACATTCTGAGAAAATCATGGGTTGAAATATAGGCACGCTTGAACGTTCCTCAGATATGTATTAAGGAATTCAAATTTTTGCATATTTTGACACCAAATAGACAGTATTCGTTACATCTTCTGCTCGCTGGTTTGCGATGGACTGCTTTAGTGGATACCAGAATTAAATGCTTGGTTTTAGTTAGATGGTGGACGTTTCATTCTTTTCTATCCTTAAATCAGATTTATTTCATTCTCAATTTCATAGTACTCCCACAATTGATTCTTCATCGATCAAGTTGCCAAATTGCATAATCTTAGACTTATTTTAGGCTTATCTTTCCTTCGTCTTTTAACGATGAGGTCATCATTAGTCAGATGATGATTATTTGTAATTTTTCTACTCAGTCTTCGAGGATAAATTTTGTTAGTTCAGTAGCAAGGTACAACTAACTTAATCTATTTATTTTACAGTCAGAACAGGAAGCTGTGGTCCTGAATCCTTCCTGAGAACGAGAGGAATTTAAAACCACATTCAGTTTTTGTCTGCATATATCAAAAGGCTCTTTGTGGGAGTTCAAGATTACTTCACAGCGTAATTGGAGTGGAATGTCTTACAGTAAGAACTGTTAATATTTGTGTAACTTAAGTAGACAGTCCATATTGCTACAATATTAGTTAATCATAGGTCAGTGCTGAGGAGGTAAAGGCGATTGGTGAAGGAACTAGGAAAAATCAAATATGACAACGGGGCCACAGTTTATGTTAGAACCTCCCTTACCACTTTTCCCTGGCTATATCTTAGGTTTGTGTGTTCTCAGTTTGTGTCTGAATAGCTCAATGCTAAGTTCGGGTTGGCTCAGAATGATTGGAATACCGTTGAAAATTGTGCTTAATCAGGTCCAAAGACAAAACAAAACCCTTATGGCAAAGGGGCTCCTCGCCATTCCCCTTTGCGTACTATGGTCAGTGTTTTGAAAGCTGTAAAGAGAAATAAGGTACTCAGAGTTGCAGATTTAAAAACCGGAATGTTGCATTAAAGAGAGAGATTTCATTTTCCTAATTTCCTTTCCAAAAATAATGAGTTTTTGCGATCTTTTCAACGTACCTTTCAGTTCGGGACAAAGACAACAACGAGACAATTAAATTCATTTCATTTGACATAAATTGATATTACAACAAAGAATAACAACCCATCACAAACTTTGCATGTAGTTTTAAAATCAAAACTTGTTCCTCATATGAAAATCAAACTGTATCATACATACTTCTGTTTTTTGCTATAATGAATCTTCTTAGAATTCATAATAGTTTACAAATTTTAAACACCAAATAATAACGGCTATTGATCAACTTAGTTAGCATGCGAAACTCAATTTCTACTCAAAAAATACTACAGTTCAGGAGAAAAAAAACTATGATAAGTGGTATGTCAAACTGATTACTTACCTGTACTCTCTATACTTGGAGTTTTGTTTATTAGTTTCTTCGCTTCTGTGGAAGCATCGTGGGACTTTTTTTGTATAATCTTAGAGCATTTGAATGTAACCGTTTTGTTTTCATTTAGTTCAAGTCAATAGTGTATTTTGCGACTGCTGTTACTAAAAAATGTAGTGATTGTATGAAATGAATTGGGTTGAATTTGATGGGCATCAATTTTTGTCACGTAATGAAATGCAAAATGTTATGGGCCGATTTGGTTACAAAACGTTGGCAGGTAATACCATGGTTTGGTTTCCTGCAAGAAATTAGTTTCTTCGGCAATATCTTGGTCTTTCTAAAAAAAATTGATGATTCTTCATTACAAAACCTGCAAGAAATTAAATTATTCGGCAACGTCTTGGTCTTTCTTGAAAGAATGAATGATTCTTCCACACAAAACCTTTCTGCGGCATTTTTGATGTCCGAGGCAGACATGAAAGTAAGCAAAGTCCACAGGTATCATGAAATATCCAGTCGGTCTTCATAGCGTACTTTTGATTAAATAACGGATTTTTCAGTATTTAATCATACAAAAGAGTAGAACTAAAAACTCGGAGGAATCAGATAACTTGTTTACCTGTTGCATTTGTCTTCATGTTGCCATAGTTACCAGACAGAGAAATGATTTGTTTTTATTTCACAACCGGAAGGTTGAGTGAAGGACTCGTTTTTGGTTTGTTTGAACTTTCCTCTACGAGATACGCTTTGACACCTTCCGAAAGAGTATAATTAATTAGGTATTTATTAGATTAATCTGAAGATCTCGAGACAATAAGGAGCCAAAATTCTCGTCTAACGTAACAGAACAGTCCCAGAATTTCCAGCTTTATAATTGGCTCTCTAAATATTCTAGATTTGTTCTCATAAGTTATAAAAACTCCATAACGTTTTTTTTTTAACTTGACCTTTCTCGCTAAAAGTTTAGCCCTTGAGAGCAGACAATTGGGACGCCTACGTAAAGAAGGCATCCTATTACCGACTGGGCAATACGCGATACGATGTATTTTTAAGGGAACTGAAATATTCCCAACACAGGAAATTAGAGATTAACCTGGAAAAGCTCTCTTTAAGCTTGATGATAAATACTCCATTTGATAAGTGTGGTCTAGAGGGCGAAAACCGGCAAACGCTCAAGCAGGATCAAAACTATGTTTACCTTTTCCAAAATAAATTATGTGATTTGTATATGTGCCATGAACAATTACTTTTTTTATCGAAGCCAGCGCAAACATTCAAAGAATTATTGACCTTCTGATTATTTAGTTTATTTGGGCTTCCTCAGTTGGATTTCAAAGTAAACAACTCACAATTTTGTAAAACTCCCACAGGGAAACGTGAACAGAACCACTTTGTAAATCACTGTTCGACTGATCTCATTTCATCGATTAAATTTGTGGGGCAGTGAAACTTTCTAGAGAGGAAGCTTCTGGGTCTTTGGCGGAAAAAGGCTTTGGAAAACCTGAAGCATCTTACACCTTGTGTTCGGGTATGAAGGCGCCTTAATGACATCGTCTCTGACATGAAAAATGAGCATGTCAACTTGTTCCATCCATTTTCCAGGTCCTGTTTATTGAAACCTCGGTTGTGATCACGCACAAGGCGCCTAAAATATTTTTTACACCTCATAATTTTTCGTTAACCCATAAAAAAAGAAAATTGAAAATATGGTTATCTTAGAGAAAGTAG